GATTAACCATGACTAAAACAAGCTCAAACTGGAACCAATGTCTACATCAAAAATCTGTATTTTCACAAATGTGTTCTTTTACAATGTGTGACTGTAAAGTTAAACAGTTTACCTGTATTCAAATCAGCTAAAAAAAAAATTCTGTATTTTACATAAAGTTGCAGTTGTTTTTACTATCATTACAATTTTTGAATGTAACGGTGCAGAATTTTAAAGGCATGTTTTGGCATCCTTGCTTCCAGATTTTTACTTTTTTAAAAAACTAATTATTTTCCCTCCTTTTTTTTTTTATTTATTTTTTTACAGTGCAGGAAGAACTCCAGCAGGTGAACAGGCAGGTGGACAAACAAGCAAACTGACGAAGGTAAAAGGGAAAGAATGAAAACACCAGGCTAAATACACCGAGGTGAATGGAAACAGGTGAAAACAGTCTGTGGATCACAAGGACGAGAAAAAGACAAAGATGGTGAGTAAAACCAACAGCTAGGACACATGAGAAAAGTTTGCATCAAAATCAGTGGCAGCTGGTGAACATTTTTGGTGGTGGTGGGGGGTGTCACAGTCTGCAAATGACCTTTTATTTTAAAATCAGAAATGAGAATATGAGTAACATCAGGCACAACTATTTACAGGAATGCAAATTGTCTACCTTTGGAGGATATTCTAATCGTAATCTAATTTAACATTATAAAGACTGACTAGAACTACATTTCAAAACCATTCATTAAACTTTCATCAATATTTACAGGATCTGTACAAACTCAAAACACACAACATACATAACAAAACAAAACAAAACTATTCAGGGCTCCAGACTAACTTTTTCACTGGTAGCACCGGTACGACCCACTTTCTCATTTTGTTGCACCTCCCACCTGGTCAAAGGCAAAACATATGACTTGCTGAACATTCTCTTATCGATGGACTCTACGAATTACTGATGCTCCCTAAACGCCCCACATTGCAGGCTGCGGTAGCTGCTGTTTGGTGGCTGTGGTGTGCTCAGACAGGTGTGTGACCAAAAATTGATCTCTAAAAATAATAAACTAGAGCGTTCTGATGTCAGATTTGTCTGGTTACACCCAGTTACATATATTCCACCCGCGGTCTTTTCTATGAGCGGAAAAAAACAGAGAATGCAGGTGCACTCTGTCTTTCATGAGAAGATCTCATTTTTAAAGTAAGTACTGCAGTACAGCAAAGTTGCCAATCAGAGTTCGGGCCGAGGTCACATGATCACGAAAAGTTGTTCGAGCATCCAGGAAGTGTAAAATTAGTAAACACGCAGTAAAGACTAATTTTAAATCTGTTTATAATACAAATGTTGTTAATATGACAAAAGGATATGCATGTTATTATTAATTTTATTATAATTAATTCAACTTTAACATTGTGTTTGAGAACTACTTTCTATCTGGTCATTCGTAGTGGGGCGGCGCCCTTGTGCCCCGTATTGACTAGCAGCCACTGAAAAATGAAAGAGAGATCAGCGTTAACTAAAACCAGAGAACATGAGAGAGAGATGAGCCTGAAGATTTCTGAAAATGATCAGCAGATTAATTTATAGTATTAATAATGATGTTAGCTGCACTTCTTAGACGAAAACATGTGGGATGTGCCAGAAATAATTCATAAAGTATTTGTGGATTAGAACTTGGATGCACATCTAGACCAAAACTTTCAATCAAATTGTATTCATTCTTTAAGGGTTTCTTTGTAGATACCCTTCATATTAAACTCATAACCTCCTCCGTAGAGGTCATGATCTTGTTCTTCTCAGGATGCTGCAGCAGGTCCTACAGACTCTGGTGTGGCAGCCGTTTGCTCTTTGACTCTCGCTGCCCTCTTCAGTGCACATTCCTGTCTTACTTGTATCTCACACCAAACGGTCACGGGAAGGCATGTCCTCGGTTAATTTTAGCCCTCATTTCATCGAGACCGCCCAGACAAAACACAGAGCAACCACCTTGACCCATCCCTCTGATCTCCAAACACCCTTTACCGTCTGTATCACCAAACATCTGCTCCCAACAGTTACTTTTCTCCAGACAAAGTGGAAAGATGACTTCTGAGTTGTCCAGGTCAACCAACCTGCACAATCGTTAAAGAACAAACCAATAAGGATGCTGGAGATACTGACATTAATCATTTTAGATTCAGAAGATGGAAATGATTGCAGGGTCGACCGTAAAAAAGAGGTAGATCTGTAAGTGTCACTTGGTGATAAATGTTTTTCGGCTCAGTTGGTCAATGAAACTCCTTTGTGGCAGCTACGTCCAAACACAGCTAACAACGTGCAGCGTGTGTGTGTGTGTCAAGAAGACACTTGGAGCCTCCCCAGGTGACCTTTACGTAGGTACACAACAGAGACTGTGTCTGTTCTGTGTCTGAATTCTCTGCCGGTGCCAGGTAATTGTCTCCTCTTTGAGACCTTTAAGTTAGAAAACTGAAGTTGAATTGAGCCATGTCTGAATTAACCACATTTGTAACTCAAATCCAGTCATGTTTCTCACATCTGCAGTAAAATCCAGACTGAAAGTTTCCAGTCTCACAGGCTGTGAAAAAAAAAACAGCCTGCTTTGTCTCTTCGGCAGACTTTACAGTCGAGTTGTTTTCATTTTTCATTTCGGATTCTTGTTTGTTTTGACAGCTCCCTCTCTGTTTTAATGGCACTCATCCAGCTCATCAGTTTGCTGTGATTCATAACACTGGCCCGCTCTGCCTTTGTTACATTTCTCCCACTAAAATTCAGTTTCAAAACAAGACAGGAGCTGCTCTAGCACACAAACCAAACATGTTTGTTTTCTCAGAGATTTGAAAAAAACAAAACATAAAGTCATCGTAAATACACCCACAACCACATAAGAGTGCCATTTTAAGCTTATCGCTACTATAGACTAATATAATACTCCACAAGTGTGATGGCAGCCACAGAGGGAGAGGATGCTGCTATTTTGAGCCCAGAGACTTGTGATGTGGAGTGAAGCAGAGTAGACTGATGGGGGTCTGCACTCTGTCAGTGTCAGACCACCGTCAAGTTACCCATAATGCAATAACCATAGCTTCAGGGTGCAAATTTCAAAATAAAACACCTCCATAAGCCTCAAAGTCATATGTATTATGTGGTGCAGATAAAGCACAATAAGACATCAAAAGAGTTGAGTTATACATGTAAGCCTAAAAACTATGAATGGTTGGTAAGTCAATGAAACATTTTAAGCTTTAGGAGCAGTAAGAAGCTGTGGAAAAAATTTACAATGAAAGTTATCACCATTTTGAATTTTCTGGGGGGAAAAAAAATTCCACATGTGCTTTTGAGCAATACACAACTTGTCACATTTGCATCACATCATGCAATATTGCCTTATATTAGGCTACCACATAAATCAAACTTAGCTGCATTATGAAAAAATAAATGTTGTTTTAAACACAATTTTTTGCTGTATTTATACAAATAATTCACTGTTGTTATAAAGATTTTAACCCGAAGCCTTTTTTTTGTTAAATTGCATACAATATTTAGTAAAATCACAAGATAAATATTAATTTTGACGTAGACTGTAGAAAAAGACCAAAACTGTACATAATGTCCCCATCAGAAATCTAGATTTTTACAAACAATTTTTCTTCTCCTACAATATATTATATAATTTTGCTGTATTTAAGCTAAAAAAGATTTTTAATTTAATGTGATATTTTCAGAGCTGCAAGGTGGCGCAGTGGTTAGCACTGTTGCCTCGCAGCAAGAAGGTCGCCGGCTCAGGACCCAGTGGGGGCACCAGGATCTTTCTGCTGTTCTCCCCGTGCAGCGTGGGTTCTCTCCAGGTTCTCCGGCTTCCTCCCACAGTGAAACATGTTGAGGTTAATTGGTGATTCTAAATTGTCCGTAGGTGTGAATGTGAGTGTGCTTGGTTGTCTGTCTCTAAATGTGGCCCTGCGACAGACTGGCGACCTGTCCAGGGTGTCCCCTGCCTTCGCCTTAAGTCAGCTGGGATAGGCTCCAGCCCCATGCGACCCTAGTGAGGATTAAGCGGTGTACAGATAATGGATGGATGGATAGATAATAGATGAAATTGAGTGCAGTTTCACAGATGACCATAAGATTACGGTGGCCTGTCCAGGGTGTCCCCTGCCTTCACCCTACGTTGGCTGGGATAGGCTCCAAATTTAAATACAGTGAAACTATGTAATTTTACAGACACATGGTAAAAGAACAAATGTTTAAATTATTTACTAGATTTTTTTTCTCTAATTTCATAAAACAGGGAAAATCTGTAAAATTATTAGATTACATTATTACATTTTAGCAGATTTATATAGAGTGAAACAGTGTCATTTTGTAGTTATATATTGTTAAAGAACAAATTAACATTTGTGAAATATTTTTTTTTTAAATTGAATATTGATGTTTTGGCACCTGTACCCAGAAGAAGCAGGTCTTTATTGTGAAAGCCAGACTACCGCTGCTGCTGTTGTCCTGCTGAATTGACAGTCGCTCCTGCTGGTCCGGGGGGCGGTGAAGGGGGATGGATCAGGGGATCTGGCTCAGAGCAGCTTCTTCTCCGGCGTCCTTATCTGACAGAGTCCAACCTGAGGGAGAAAGCTGCGTTTCTGAACCAAACTGACGGATCCTGCGCGCTGCGGCACAACTTCTTCCCACAACAGGTTCTCTGAACACTCACAAGATGTTTCCAGCTTCATAGCCTACTTTTTTTTCTCCTCCCTCAACATTATCAGCGTGCAACATCCTGCATCTGCCATCTCCCTGGCAACCAGTCCTCCTCTCCATCATCCTCTCCAGCGCTTCATCCCTCACCACATCAGCTGCAGCCTCCGAGGGACGCCAGAGAAACCCCGCTTTTTACGCTCGTCCTCTCAGTGGAAACGGACCGTTTTTGTGTTTTTTGTCGCCGGTGGCTCTTGAGATCTCTTTGCTGCTTGGTTTATTCTAAAACTAGTAAGGTTCATGTGTCGGAGAAGTGTTTTCTGTCAGCACCAAAATGCCTGTGAGACGCGGTCATGTTGCGCTCCAGAACACCTACTTGGACACTATCATCAGGAAATTCGACGAGCAAAGTAAGTGCGCATGAAATGAGTCAAGTTAGAAGTCTGTAGTGACCTTTAAACTCCACAAAGTGGCAACAAAAACGAAGAAATTTTACAAAATGCATATTATATTTCACTTTTTATCACCCTGCATAGTCATTTATACCCAGATTGTCTTGATATATTAATGTAGCCTATAAATACTTTCAATTAAAACGATAAATCTGCACAAAAGTCTTTCAACTGGAACTCAGTTTTATTTGTTCACAATCTGTAATAGTACTGTGCCATAAATATTTAATCTCAGGTTTGTTAATGTAGTTGAAACCTTCTTATTTGGCTTCATATCCTTTAATTTTCACACGTTTTCTCTTCAGATCATTTGGTCCCTCTTATTACCTGAACAGGTGGCACACTGACAGGCTTTTTTTTTTTTTAATGCCAGGCTACATTATTATAGCTTGTAACAGACCCCCGCTGCTGCTTTTATGCTTGAAGGTTATTGCACCTGCATGTGTTTGTTTGTCAGCGCTCACCTTATGCCTTACAATATGTTCCATTAGCTCACATGTTCCACTGGCAACAAAGAGGCTCCACAAAAAAAAAAAAAGAACTCCTTTCTCCTGCAATCACTGATAAAACACAGATGTTGCATGTGATGGCGACTTTGACCTCGACTTTGTTTTTGTTCCTCTCCTACCTAAAGCTCTTTTTTTTTTTTTTTTTTGGCTCTTTACACATGCCACATTGCACGTTTAAGTCTTTGTTAATATCATTTGTAGTTTAAAAACACTACAAAACATCACACGTCTACCCTCAAGACTGAAAACAACCATCCTGATTGGAAATATGGAGAAACAGTTGATGGAACAGAATCTGAGGCCAATAACACTCAAATCTGCGAAGTTCCTCTGTTATGTAATGCCCCTACTGTACCTCAATGTACACGTGCACGCGCAGCCACATGCACATGCGTGACCAGGTGAGTGCACGTGCCACAGCGGTGCTGCTAAGCAACAGTGTGACGATCAGCGTTTCCGCTTTGAGCCCCAGATAATGACTTTGGACAGGATGTGCTTTTCCACCAGAGGAGCTCACCCATTTATTTTAAAGAGCCAAGAGAAGAGTGTCGTTCCCCCCCCTCCACCTCTGTTCTCATCTGTGTGGGCTGCAAACACAAAACAGCTGTTTAACCCACTTCCACAGCAACATAACAAAAGAGGTCAGTCAGACGCTGCAGAGGTTACGTGTGGACTTTTCATCCAGCTCATTGAACTCCTCCATTAGTAGCTTTCGAACAAAACTGCCCTAATTCACTCTGCGCATCCGCGTTTTTGGCCGTAGTGGCTGTTTGCCGGTGCCACAGTCCGTCAATAACAGGAGCTGGATGGTATATGAGCTCAGAAATACTATAAAGGAGAGCAGAGAAACTTTCAATCAAAGATCAGACATCCCAGGAGAAACCATTACTGCTGTAGCTGACTCTGTTGAGCCCCAGTGTTTCCCACATGAGCAGAGATTATAGACGGAGGTGGTTTGACCTCCTGTAGGGAGTGTCAGCACGTACTGGTGGAAAGACACAGCAGTGCTCCCAAGATGTGCCATCCAATTAGAGAGTTTTTCTCCAATTTGCACAGTTTCTGCACTACCTGCAGTTCAGCTCAGTCATTTATGATATAAATCCAAACATAGAAAATGAGATTTTTGGCTACAAGCAATTTGTTGTGAGAGTTATTTTATCAAAGTAGCATCATTGTAGCTTCTCAAAATAAAAAAAAAAGACTGTTGCCATTTTTCATCAAACACGATGATGTATTTTCATGTATAATTACTTATTAGTAAAATTTTACTAAATGAACTCCTCCCTAACTGGTGTATTGTTTAATACTGCAACTAGACTTTACAATAATATTAAGGAAGACTTGTCACCTTTGCACCATGAAAGAATTTGTTTGCCAAAATATACATTCATTTACAACAGAAAGCCTTTTGTCATTCAAAAACGTGCGTGTAAAACCTATTTCTTTGTGCGTTTGTACTAAATTCCCACAAGTTGCCTGAGAGCGGTGCAGAGGCTCTCAGGTTGAAGAGCCCACCTGCCCCCTCTCAGTCCCTCTGGAGAAATTGTGACGCTAATAGCATTAGCACGATGGAAAGGTGGACTTCATTAGTTCCACTTCAGCTGATTGTCGAGTGGAGAGCATGAAGAATAGTTCATTAAAATGTCAGACACAAAGCCATGCACAAGATTTCCAACACGCTGCACTGATCTGAGCCTGTTTGATTACAGCTTAAACAGAGTGTAATCAGTGTAATTGTAAATGTGCTGTAAATATTCTCTCGTTTAGTGACTGAATCAAATGTGATCACTTTAATTAGGCACCGATGCAAGCTAAATTCTGATGCTTTTTATGCCTTCAAATGTGGAAACATTATAATTTCAGCTTCTGTATATCTATCCTAAATGTTGAAACAAAAAAAAAGCAACAATAAAACATTAAAAGAGACAATAGATCATTACAAAGACAAAAAAACATTTTAAATGACATGATAGAATATTATACAAATGACTGGATGGGATTTTTAAAGTTTATCAAGCTGAGGCACCGACTGAGCTGCTCTCACTGTAACGCTGGAGCTTGTTCCACAGCACGATTACCCTTTGTTGTCAGCCTGGACAGAGCAATGTTTTAAGAGCAGCTGATTCCCTGATCTGTGGTCTAAATGCAGAATAAGCAGTTACAAGTTCAGAGATGTAGAGCAAATGACCAAAAGGTCAAAGATCAGCTTCACTGTGACATCAAACATTTCTGCAAAAACACCTTTCTGCGCTTTATAGAACAGAAGGGGAGATTGTCACCACATTTCATATCTGGTTGGATGTTGAATTGGTGACACTAATATTGGGTTTCCACCTGGAGGTGACTGACTTGTTAAAGATGTGTGTGAATCATCAATTTAAAGCTTCTTTGCAGCCGGATCCATATTTGAAGCATCTATTGGCCAAACACAAGCACAGTCTATGTGTTCTTATTAAGGGCAGTTATTGCAGATGGGATGAAGGATATTTTGTAAATGTAATGTTGGGACAGTGCAGGGGGGTGGGAGGGTTCCCCAGTAATGAGGGTGGCTTTCCTCATCACAGAGTGCCCGTACAGGTGTTGAGATGTTTCAGTTATTTTGCTGGCTTGATTTATTATCCTGGAGAGTTTTGCTTTATGTTTGGCAGTGAGAAAGTTAAACCAGGATGAAATGTTGTAACTGAGGATGGATTCGATGAGTGATCTATATACCAGAGTTAGAATGTCTTTGCTGATGTTAAAAGTTCTCTATTTCCTGAGCAGGTGGACACGCTGTTGTGCCTTTTTGTAGACAGAGTCAGCATGTTGTGAGGAGGACAGTCAGGTATCGATCTCTGTTCTGAGAAATCTAAAACTCTGTACCTGTTCCACCGACTGACCTTGGATGTTGAGTGATACAAGTAGATCTGCTGGGTTTTTCCCCATGTACCCACGGCAGAGCTCCTTGGTTTTTTGCGATGTTCAGCTCAAGTGAGCTTTCGGCAAAGGTTTGAACCAGGGTGTAGACTTCCTGTATAGCAGGATCCCATACAACTGCTGCAGATGTTTCTTTTTTTTAAATTTACAAATGAAAGAAATGTTTATATTATGCATTTATGTCATTAAAATGGATATTATTTGGTTATTATCAGATTTATCTCACTATATAATGTTTAATTGTTAATATTCAAGCAAGAAACAAAGAGAAACAGTCCAGTTTTTCAAACATTTTCCCAGCGTGGATCAATACGTTTTTCTGATCCTGGTCAACTTCCATCCACAGTCACTGCCCTGCCCCTTGGATTTCTTTCCTTTTGAAATCATCACATGACGCTGGCCTTTATTTCCACCCTTTAGATCGCAAATTTCTCATCGCCAACGCCCAGATGAAGAACTGCGGCATCATTTACTGCAACGAAGGCTTCTGCCAGATGTTTGGTTTTACCAGAGCCGAGATCATGCAGCAGCCCTGCACCTGCCAGTTCCTGGTGGGGCCCGGCACCATGAAGAGCGCCCTCTCCCAGCTGGGACAGGCCCTGCTGGGCTCTGAGGAGCGCAAGGTGGAGATCCTCTACTACTCCAAGGAAGGTAAGACCCTGAAGCAAGACGAGAGGGAAGGCTGAGAAGCCTGTTTGCAGCCTCAGATTGAGAAGGAGCCTTCTGCCCGTCAGAAAACCAGGCCAGCTGGACAGCTTGACTGTTACGAAGACGCTGTCACCATAATCACCCATATGTCCCACAGTGTCGTCCTCTTGATTGGACAGAATCCAGACCAGGACACTAACCACCAATTAGTTATTTGGGCTTCTTTCAGGCATTTTAGAATATCCTATGTGTGTTGATCAGTGCATTCATTTTCATAACAACCAGGCTAAAGTGTCAGGATCTGCACAGAGATGATTTTGGTACAAATCATTTAGATCAACAAGGCAATCCACCTCATTCCAGAAACATGTAGGCAGCTTTTAAAAACCAGCCTCTCCCTGTTTTCTGAGGTAATTAGTAACACAGAGTGTGTTCTCGGCACAGTCACCCACCCAGAGAGAGCGGGCAGGCAGACGCAGCATCATATTCCTAATCTCTTCTTAAGCCATGTTTTTATTGATGCACACTTGGTTTGGCTCCCAGCATCAACAAATCATCCCCAATTCATTAGTGTTACGAAAACACAAAAAAAGATGTGAAAAAAGATTATGTCCTTTGTTTTAAAATCAAAAATGGAATAACAGTTTCAGGTGTCGGAATCAGAAAATGAAAAACCAATCAAACACAGTCCGGTTTTGGTTTTTGAAAAAATAAAATTACACGGCCTATTTGTTTTTTCAATTTTCAATTAAAACCAAAAAACGAAAAAAAAAAAAAAGAAGACAAAGTCAAAAGGCCCTCCAATTTTGGTTTCTGCAAATTCCTTTTTCATTTTCTGCTTATTTTATGTTCGTTTCCATACTTCCATCTCCTATCGACTCTGTGTAAACACAGCCGGCAGTTCAGCCAAAAAGTCCCTGAATTTTTGTCACGTGGACGTTGGTCACATGTTGGAGTCTTTAATGGCTTCACGGTTGCGTCGGGGAGCCTGGAATTTCTTTTGTTTTTACAGAAAGTTTGTAGTTCAAATGATTTATGTTTTTAGCGAACATCTGAATAAGACACAGGTTAAATTGAATTTGATGAAATATCATAATATTTGGTTATTTTTCCAGGCAAAATGGCACGTCACAGATGATAAGTTCAAGTATCATCAGAAAGTTTAAGGTTGAATTATTCTTTCTATTTTTACAGTTTCTTGCTGATAAATGATGTCATTTTAGTGGTTTTCATGGGTGTTTTGACTTTCAGAAGGTTAAGCATTTATCCACAGTTCACGCGGTGGTATTTTACTGAATGTTATCTCCTCTTAAGGCTCAACAACATCCTCTTGACTTCATTTCGGCTGTCAGTAACGCACCGTCCTCTGCAGAGGTCTGCGTTTCACCTCCTTGATCTCCTTCGCCTCCAAGCAGTTAAATCCTTCTTCACCTGTTTATCTCTCATTGGCATTAAGCCACCGAGCTGAAAACCACATGTTGGAGAAAAGCAAACACTCCACCCAAGTACATTTACTGTCCACGTCCATGCACAGACATAAACACACATGTATGTTTTGTTACTTTATCCACTGGGGCGTGAGGCGTGCAGTCTGGAGTGCTGTTGTCATGGAAATGCGATCAGCATGCCAGCTCAAATCCACACGGCATCTATTTGTTTTGTCTCCTGCTTCCTACTGGGCTCCCCGGCTGAACAGGCAGGAGAAAAAAAAAAGTGATTTAGAACAAGTCTGCGGCTTTTTTTTTTCTTCTTTTCTTTACCTCCAAAATAAATCTCTGTGCGAGTTCCCTCATGGTGGCTATGTGAATGGGACTGAATGCAGACACTGTGGATGTATAGTCCACTCTGTGTGTGTTTGTGTGTCTGCCCTCTCTCCTGTTGCTATTTTTAAACCACACTGATTGCAAGGTGAAGTCAGACCTGACAGACATGTTTGCTCATTTAACCTTTCTTCGCACTTGGTACATGGGGGGGTATAGCTCAGTGGTAGAGCATTTGACTGCAGATCAAGAGGTCCCCGGTTCAAATCCGGGTGCCCCCTGCTTTCCTATTGAATCCTTGTGTTTGGGTGTCCACAGGGACCTGCAGACCCTGCCTGGTGGACATTGTCCCCGTAAAAAACGAGGAAGGCCTCGTCATCATGTTCATCCTCGACTACCAGGAGCTCATCGATCCTTCTCTGAAGAAATCCGGCCTCAGGCAGCGAGTCGCTCAAGGATGGATTTACTGTAAAGCCTTTACAATTCCATATGTGTTTTATGTTGATGGCAGTGCCGTGCTTCTCGCCTCCTGATAAAATTCAGTTTGCTAGCTGTAAATCCAGCTACTTTCTTCTAGAAATCTACATTAATTAGTATACGTCACGTGTTCCCACCTTTAAAATGGCAACTGACAACTTTCAACCCAATTAAATGCCCGTCCCTTGCTTGCTACAGCTCAGTTTCTATCATTTCCTCTGACAATTGGGCTCTTTTTCTATTGCCGGGTGGAGTTTCCATAATTACTCTGGTTGTTCTTTGTGCTGTAAATGTCCTGGGAGTTTCCATACCTAAAGGCAGACAGAGTTTCAAAGTGAGGCTCATAGTGAACCAATCTAAACACAGATGGTATAATAATATGTATTCTGTCACCATTAGATTGTGCAAAATGTATTATTTCAAACTTCATTTAAATTCAGTGTGCATTAAGGTATGCAGGCCTCATTTGCAGCGTAATAAAATAAAAGATGATGGCCACTAGTAAGAAACTTGGATAACAATAACAATACAAATATGAAATGGAAAGCTAGTGAGATAGTAAAACAATAATTAGAGCATTTACAATTTAAAAATGAATGAATCAACTCAAGCAGGAGCAGCTGGAAGTAAAATGAGATGAAATTAAAAACCTGCATAGCAATGAGGAATGAAAACTGTTTTGCAGAGTGCAGGTGCACAGCGAGTAAAACGGGATTTTCCAAGATCAGTAAAAACAGCTGTAATGTAATCCAATTATTTAAGCATGTTGAGTAAGGAACCAAATTAAAAATAACAGCAATGAACTCATGTAAGGGTTAAAAAGCCAGCAGTAATAGATCTTAATGTAGAGGGATGGCTGGTGTAAAAGCCCTTAAGACTCACTGCTGATAAATACATTTATAAAATGTTACCATGATTGTGACATTTAAATGTCAGCTTCTTATTGATCCAAATTACCAGACATTTGTCATCTGTAACATAATATTTTTTGTCATTCCACTCAATCAACATCTACTTCATAATGATTAAAAGTTAAAGCAAAAAAAACAACTTGTCTTTTGCCACTTTAACAGTTTCCAATCCCGTGGAAATGACTGACCAGCTGGCTCACACACTCAGTTAGCATTTCTACAGACAGATTTACAAACAGAATGCATTTTGTCACTTTTGTCTAATCCAAGAAAGTTGGAGCTGCATGTGGAGAAGATGAATCTGTAGTTTTTGATCACTGCTGAGCTGAGCTTTTCTCCTTCAGGTCAGAATCGCAGGCTGAAGATGAGGCTGCCGGTGCTGCGGTCAATGCGACGGCCTTCGCTCTCCAAAGACCAGTTTGAAGGCGTGGTTGTGGATTATCTGCAGGTGAGGCTGGCGTGCACACATTCGCATCACAAAAGAGACGATGCATTAGCATGTGTCCATGCATTGCATTCTGTGACATGTAGCAATCCCAGGAATGGACAGAATTGTGCTGTTTGCACTGCTTTTACAGTTCGCACATAAAACAAAACAAAGAAAGTTTTACATTCCATTTATTTAGCAACAACAAACCCCTTTGCTGTTGGCTTTTCACTGATGTATGCATTTACATATGCAATTCCATCTGTTAAATATGCCTCAAACAGCAGCGAGACGTGCTTGAAATTCAAAGACTCATTTCTCAGCCCAAAGGACACCAAATGGAAGAACGGAGGGGAAAAAAATCAACCGCTGTTCAGTTTATATTTCCTTCACTTGTGTTTATCCTTCTCTGGTGTTTTGATGAATTTCACCTTGTGTAAAACTATTTCCTGACGGGATCCGTACCTGACACAGGAACTGTATTGGATCAGTGCAAATTTACATGTTGGGACTGTTGGAATTTACATGCTGGCAGCGAAGTGACATTCCTTTTCTGTTTCAGTCCAGCATCCTTAAAGTGCAAAACACAGTCAAATGCATTTAAGGGAGAAAACAAAATGCAAAGCTGCTGTATGTGGTTTTTTTCTGCTCCTAAAAACAATCTTGCTAATTAACCATCTTTAAATGCATGAAGTGCCCAGACTCTGCAGATGTATGACCTTCTACCATGGGGCAAAGGTTTCATTTAACTATTGTGAGATCAAACACTTGATTTTCTGCATTCTAGTGAATCTTTATGCACCGGTTTGTTCTTTTTCTGCATCAATTTAAGGTGGAAATGTAAAGGAGAACACAAAGTTCAAAATATCATGAAACGTATATGAATCTAATGATGTTTTTCACAATTGATTCATGTTTTTAGGTCAAGAAAAAAGACTCGTCCCCGTCCAGGCATTGTTGTATCCATTAGTGATATCGTTTTTCACAATTTCAAGTATCCTGTTTCTTTATGGTTCTATTATGTCAAAGTAATGTCCTCTTGCTCTCTGTCCTCAAAAGCCAAACAGTGAGGAAGTTCCTCTGAAAGAGTTCCGGATCCCGTCCAAGGAGAGCTGCATGCAGTCTGAGACGGAGGCCCTGATAGAGCAGGACCTGGACCCTCCCTCCCCAGCAGCCCAGTCCACCAAACGGCGCTCCCTGCTGGCAGACCGACTGGACCCCGCGATGGCCTTCCCCAGGGGGACGCTACCTCGAAGCTGCTCCAGGGACAGCGTTCGCAGCCTAAGACGAGCCTCATCGCTGGATGACATCGACGGCATGAGAGCGGAGTGGAACAGCCGACCCGGAGACCCCCGGACCAACAGCAGTGAGTGTCTGACCCGGCGCCTCAGAGGGGAAATGAAATTGTGGATAAAATATAGAATTACTTGTAAAATGAAGCTATCATTTCTGTGTCTGTCTCTCGGGGGAGCTCAAAGTTTTTCACAAATCATATTTTCCTCATATTAGTGAGTCAGTGGGCTTTAACATTTGTTTTTATCCAGTTAAACTTGAGACAGGAATATAAGACACTAAATCAGATTACACCTGCTGACTGGTTGCTGTTTTCCACGTATTGGTCTTAAGGAAATCACAACAAAATAACTGTAGGGGTAGGGGACCAGATAAATCATGCTAGTATTCATATGATATCAGCAAATTTTTTAATAAGTAATATTGAATACATCACTGGGAGCCCTGCTCTCATGGTTTAGACAGCAGTTGGTAATCCTAAATTATTGCAATTCCAAGCTTCTCATGTGACATCCTAGCATGAATAAATGATTTTCATTTAAAGACACAGAGGGGATCTCTGACATTGTTATTTTCTATATTGCGAGAAAATAATTTGATTTAAAAAATGCAAGGAAAATTATCCACAAGCAACAAAAAACGTGTTAGCTAGGAGATTTCACATCACCGTTCACTGAAAAATCCATTTTCTCTGTCAGACAAGGAAAAAAAAAAACATAAAGAGATGTTGGATGTATCAGGTTTCTAACACGCAGAACATCTTTCTGATCACGTACAGCTGCCTGATGGTTATTCCAGTGGGCACACAGTGATCAATTCCTCTGCGATACATTTGTGTTACAATCACACATCAGTACACATCTGTTCCTCTTTCCTCTCGGGGGGAAGTATTTTTTGAGGGAACTTGTATTGTCTGTGCAGATACAGGTTTCTCATTCTGTGTGACATTTTCTTAGATTTTCACCATGTTTGTGTGTCTGTTTTTGATCTTTCACTGAAAATGGAATCAAAAGATTTTGTGTAGATGCTCTTTAATTGAATGTATATGTCTTAAAAACCTTTACATGCACCAATAAAAAAGTAATCACGTCAGTTTTTTAAGGATAACGTCATTATTGTAATTCAATTTTTGCTCACTGCTTTCGTTGCCCTTTCTTTTCCTGCAGATCTGAAGCCCAGCGTTTTGAACTCCACCTCGGACTCAGACCTTATGAGACACAGAACCATCGGCCGGATCCCTCAGGTTACACTCACCTTCGGCTCGGACCGGATGAGACCGCCTTCTCCCACCGAGATTGAAATCATCGCTCCCAGCAAGATTAAAGACCGAACCCAGAACGTCACAGAGAAGGTCACTCAGGTAACACAGGTGAGGTGTCTTTTAGTGTCTCAGGGGAAAAGAGAGACAATGAATCCCTGCTTGCTCAGTCATTCTGTCACAGCTACTGGGGTCCTAATTGCGGCATTTCTTATTTTGTTTTTTATCTGTTTTATGTAAAGAAAAAAAAAAACAAAAAACAATAATAAATTGAAAAATTCGTTACACCCAGTGAGCTGCTATCTTATCTCTGAGAAGTGAAACAACTTGTCTCACCTCTGAGATTGGCTGGAAGACTGAATGTCTCGAAGAGAAAAGTACCATTGTCCAGACTTCTTGTCATCCATCCTCATCGGTTAAAGGTTAATAACGTCTGTGCCTGCAGCCGCTGACCGGCCATCAAGGATGGAGCTCAGTAGAAAAGAGTCATTTGAAACCAGATGAAACTTGCATTTGTTGAAACAAAAAATAAATCAGTCCATTAGGTGAGATAACAACACGTGTTCCCAGGACAGTTTCCCTTATCCCAGGAGTTTGCTAGAAAGACGTTCATATCAGGATGACGCAGAAGACGGCAGATAACTGCTTTTGTATCGATGCTCATTGTTTTTTGGAATTACTGGAAAACATTGTCTCTATCTGTGGGCAGAGTGACATGAAGAAAGACCTTAGTGATGGATGAATTTCTGTTTTATTTATTTGTTTATTTATTGCAGTGTGTGATTAAAGCTAGAGTATGAAGGATTGTAGTAACAGTAAGAGCAAGTCCAAAACACATGAATGCACGCTGTTTCTGAAATAGACTGCATCACCACATCTACAAAACATCCCGTTTAAAGCCACTAGGATAAAATCAATCCCATCAAATGACACTTGCTGACACGTATTCTACAAAGAAGGCAGATAGCAAACATGCACAGATATGTGTAAACGTGTCCAAGTGAAACTAGAGGAGGATGAAGAACACAAAGAGCATTGAAAGATGCACAAGTACAAATGAATGCCATAATCTGACTTTTTTAGCAACAGACAACACAGTATTGTGCAGTTGCAGTTACAGCATTCCACTGTTTTTCTGGCACCCTCGATGCCAGGTTTTCACCCGCGTTTCAAAAGATTTTTTTTTTTTTCAAACAGTGCAGCAACACAGCTGGTGACATCCACAGTCGCAGGTAGCAGCTGCCATCACAACTGAGATCATGACAGTAACACTCACAGAGGTAGAAAGAGAAAACCTGCAGCTGAAGGTGCAGACAGAGTACCAAAAAAGGAAAAAGGACGTTGATGCTGCAAAGTGTGATAAAATAACTGGATTTATTTAAGCAGTCTGCAGGTGATGATGAGGATGGTGGTGAAGAAACAGAAACATCAGTGAGAAGTGAGCAGCTGCTTTGTCTGTATGCTCTGTGTCACGAACCAGCGAAACAAACTACATGTTTTGTGAAGCTTGGAGTTTCAATGCCAGAGTCCTGCTGTACGTTAGACCATTTCCAATGCTTTGCTTTCACATTTAGAGACATTCACACTGAGATTTTCTACAGTGTTTTCCAATATGGTCGTCAACTTTGGCTCTCAATGGATGAAATGATGAATGGAGCTGTTTTCTTCTAGACTGTTCATTAGTCTTTTTTGCCTTATAGCTTGTAATACGGGATATACTGTCGAATAGAAAGTATTATGAAAAACCGTCTAAACTTTGAAACTTCAGAGTTTTCTATAACAAAACTCAAAGTCAGACAAATTCAGGTACAAATCTGAAATTTACTGTCATTTCAGCAAAGTACAGCAAACGGAGGCTAGTTCATGAACACAGACACTGATTCTGAATTGAAAATCCAAATCTTCTATACCCTTATTGACTACACACTGTTATTTTTTAGTGTCTTTATGGAAATTTTGCCATTTTTGGAAAAATTTACTCAGCTATTTCATATTTTAGTTTCACACAAATAATACAAATGATCAGATTTGTTTTTTTATTGTTTTTATTGTTTTGTTTTTTTTTAATTGAGGAATAAATTAAAGAAAAACACATTGTACAATTTCAAATTTGGTTCATCAAATTGAGGCTGCTGTTTGTTTAGCAGTGCAAGATACCGTAGGTTTAGGTTCAACTGTAAAATCTGACCTGTGAGTGCCACAGATCGCAGATTTTTTTTCCTTTTAATTTTTTCTTTGTTTATTGAATCCTGTCAGGATGTAAAGAGATTTTTAGCAAATATGACCAAAACAAAATCCTTTACTACATTGCGTACTGTTGCTTTATTGATTTGGCTACCTTCAAGTCAATGTCAGCCTCAGATTGAGATGTTGAGGTGACTAAATTTCACAATATTTTGTCTGTGGGTGAACTGTACCAGTCTGCTGACCTGCAAAAGCAATATGTTCAATCATATTACATTTCCTCCCCTGTCTCTTCTGTCTGATAAATTTAGACTGTTAACCATTGTTGCTGCTGATTTTCACAACACTGTCACATCCAGTCTGTGTCTCTGCACACACAGTTCAGACAGAGGTGTCTATAAATGGAAGTTGCAGAAGGCATCAGCAGTTACAGGGTGGAAGTGTGAAGGAATAATCTCACCTGAGGTGTGACTTCTATGGCAACAGCAGCAGAACAAACTCATCAACCACCTGTCATCACACCGTGGTGTCTCCATCCACATTTTGGCTCAATGTAACCTCAAACAGTAGAGGAATGACTACAGAGGAAAAACACCCAACTGCAAGTAAAGTTTATAAATATAAGTAAAAGTACTAACATTAAAGAGTTGTACCAGATTATTTCAAACAATTCGATGATAGAGAGAAAATTAGGAGCAGTTTTGGGAAGTTTCTTTTTTCAGATCAGTTTGGAAAAAAAAAAAAATCTTGAGTGAGTTTTTACATATTATAATATTACATTTTCCAGATATGCAGTCATTTAACAACAACAACAACAACAACAACAACAATAATACTCATAATAATAATAATAATTATTATTATTATTAATAATAATAATAATAATAATAATATTAATAAAAACAATAACAATAATACATGTTTTTATGAATTTTACAAGCTTCTTATATGTCGAGTACATATGTCAAATTGTCCTCATTGACCTTGCATAGTAGCTTGCTGCCATTTGCGTGGTAGGTTGTGTGTAAGTGAGGCTATAAATAGTACGGTTTCTGTTACGTCAGAAGCAAATTGTAAACCCAACGTTTTGGAAAAAGGCACTTTGTAATTGCAGTTTATTCATCATTCAATAAAGTCTGCAAAGTAGTTTCAACTGTAGCTGTTACATAAATGTGAGTGGATTAAAGTAGAAAATCTTAAAATGTCTAAACCTATCGTAACAGTATTGTACACGGTGGCACAAGCACACAGTAAACTGTGATGCTGTAATGACCTGTTTGGTCCCGTTCAGAGCTGTCAGTCGGACACTCTGGAGCTCCCTAAGTGCATCACATTAACCCAGTTAATCTGTGGGGCTTCCATGAAGGTCAGTTGGCCCTCTTTTTGACCAACATGAGATTAGTTTCTGGCCCCAGTTGTCAGTTTGTTTCGCTGGTTAGTTTGTTATTTTGCAGGATATCTGAACAACGTAGTTTAGATTTCACTGGAACTTGGTGAAAAACTAAAGCATGGGCCAAGGACGAAGACAAGGCCTTTTGTAAAGAACCTTGTATTTTAGTCCATAGCTACTAAAGCATTTTACCAAAAGCAGTTTGTCATCTGTAAGTTGGGCATTATTAATAAAAAAGACTTCGTTTAAACTATAGGCCATCCAATCCTCCCCATATTTGGCATATATTTGTATGAGCAGATAAATGCCAGTGATTGGGAGCCAGATTTGTGTAGGTGTAGCCTCTCTGACACAAACTGCCACAACTTCTAAGCACACTCCGAAAATACAGTTAAATTTAGATAACACAAAGTCACACACAGTAAGCGACAAAAAGAGATTTGATGAAATCTAATGGCAGTTCATTAGTTAAGTCTGCCTTGACAGAATTTTTCACTCTTACAAAATTATTTCAAAACTTACCATAAGTGTGCATATGTGCGTTTGTCTTGCATAGTTTCAGATAATAGGCCTAAATGTGCATGCTGTTTGCACTGTTTCCTTACTGGACTGCTCTGACTGAACGCTGCGCTCACTTCTTCACGCCGGGAGCGATTGTGGCATCGACAGCCGGCTGTGACTCAGTGCACAATGTGGCAGCAGCGTGGCTCCTGTGGCCCTGGAAAAAGTGACTGCACAAACAGAAGGCCTCCTGAAAGGCCTGGCAGGACGCTCGACTTGTTATCTCGACTCTGCCGACGTCACCAACAAGTTTGGATAAAAAGTGAGCGTTCCTCTGTGTTCGAGCGGTGGCGAGTGTTTAGATCTGTTGTACTTTCTGTTATGTTTCTGTCGGAAGGTGGACGGCAGTTATTGCAGTGATCCGTCCCTGCTGTGTCGCTCTCTGACAGACCACACACCACCTTCCTCACCACTTCTTCATCGTAACAAAAACTTGGCCTGAGTCTTTAAATCTTGTTTTTAGCAAAGTTGCTGAAATATATGACTTATCCCAAGTGCAAATCATTTTCTTTCAGTATGTTTTCTACAGCACAAAATAAATTAACGAGGAGGAAGTCATTCATTTCTCTTATTATGTAAAAAAAAAAGGTTAAATTATTTTTTTAAAAATAGGGATATTTTACTTAATGGAAAATACAATCCTGCATTTTTAAAATGTTGTATTCTGTATGTGTTTATTATGATACATTTTGAATAGATTCTTAACATTAGACTTTGCATTTTTAGCTGTTTGTAGTTGTGAGATCTTTACAGAAATTCATGAATTTTAAAGACAGAAAATACTCAGTTGCCTCATTTTACACTCTCAGTCTATTTATTCTGTCTTTTGAGAAAATTAAGACTCTATTTGCAAATATCACAGCTCTCCTGCTTCACGGAAAACTTCTTGTCTTAGTGTTTGTGCACTTAAGGTTTCAGGTTTTCCACATCTTCTTTGTGAAAGTTCTGCATTGAAATGACTAATTAGTTGTAAAGT